CACCACAGAAGACTGATGGTGAGATGAAAAAGTTTTGGGCTTAAAAACACATGGAAATGGACTTTCTAGAGACATGTGCAATTATAATGGAGAGAAAAATGGATGACTCTTATATCCCGAGAAAATCAAGAGACAACAGAAGGAAAATCAGTGGTAGGTTTTCCGGCTGGGAAAACCTACCACTGGGAGGGAGGAATTAGTATACCAGGGATTTTCTTTTCTGTTAATTGGGTCTACCAGGTATTTCAGAGAAATGCAAATACCACGGAACAGGGAAGTACCAATCTTGGGAGGAAATTCCATTCATAAACTACAGCTTTCTCCCTGCAATACAGAGGGAGATAACCGGGATTCATGGATTTTGGTCTTTCATTCAATTAGCAATTACAACAGTCAAAGCAGGTACAAAAGAGTACAACTGATCTCAGAGTCCTAATTCATCTCGTTCTCAGTTGTTTTCTACTGCATTCTTTTAAGTGTCTGAGTGTAGTAACATTAATACTTCACTGCAGATGGGCTGTCTCCTTTCTTCTCGCCCATTTTTAGAAGATTCACACCACATTCATAGTCCTGCTTTTCTGCTTTAGCACCCGGACCAAGTACAGCAATTCATCTACAGGAGAGCTGCATCTAACATCTCAGGTCTCTCAAGGCATGTGCCCTGTGTGCCTCTCAAAAATGCAAGTGAAACAAAACCACTCCAGAGTTACACCTTCCTCCACAAATAGGGGCTTTTAAGGAAGGAGAAGCCTTCTGCCCACCACCTATTTAGGACCAGGTGATTTGTTTTCTTACAGTAACACTCCCTCCTCTGTTGTTTGTGAATGCTTTCACCATGCTTCCAAAGGAGTAACTTTTGTTATGTTTTTAATAAATTTACATGTGTTTCTCTGGAGATAATATCAAATCAGGTAAAAAATCTCCTATAAACACTATATAAATAAATTTGACTCCACAAGGACTTTATTACATTCTCAAATTGGGGAATGCTTTCATAATCTCATATTTGGGAAAACATGTTGCTTGTTCCTAGGGGGCAAACATGGAATGTGTGTTATTTGGAAAGATGACACATTTTAACCACTTCACTATTTGGAGTCAGAAATTAATTCATAGCTATCACCATCTTCCCAGTTCCAGCTACATTATAGTTATTTTCTGCATGAGAAAAGTTGATGTGATTTTTTTCAAGTAGAGCTGCAAAGGGACTTCTAATGGATAAATAATACGCATGGATAATTTATGGCTAAATAATATTTTGGTGCTAAAAGCAATCTTAAATGTTTGCAGGAGAAACTATTTAATTACAGGTACCATTAAGATGGCTTCTCTGTGATAGCTATGTGACAACTCATTAACAGAGTTCTTCACAGACAGGACACGACAAATTATGACTCTGTTGCTTGTGAAAGCCTCTGATTAAGAAAGCAATAAAAAAGTATTAATATTTTGTTGCCAATCAAGATACCACATAAAAATGATTTAAGGAATGCACTTAAACAACCAGGCTCTACAGTCATCTTCAACCCCGCAGCACTGCCCAAATCTAGGATTATCTAGGTTTTTGTTGACTATCACTTGCAGTGTTAATCTGGAACACAGACAACCTTCTCCTGTAACATTGGTCACGAATCCAGACAAAATCAAGCCACAAAAGATTCGTCAGTGGTGCCTCCCCTGTGCTGCTCTCACACCTAGTTGGAAGGAGTCTGGTTTTTCCAGAGTTGAGCTTCTATTTTCATCTCATTTCTTGAATTAGCATTTAGAAGAGAAAGAGTTTAGTTGAAATACAACACCAGGATTTTTCCAAGTGTGTGCATATCCTGTAGGTTTGTATGTGATTATCATTGTGCCAGGAGCAGGGAGGATTTTCTTGAAGTTAAAAAGGTACAATTAATCTCCTGTTGCACTTCCAATTAGCCAAATTGCTAACCTGATTGTGAAAGCAATCGAGTTTCTGCTTGACTAAAAGAAAACTGAAGTAATTTAATTAACTGACTTCAAGTATATTAAGAGGCACAGTGCCTTCACTTTCCTGCTGTCAGTGCCTTTAAATAGATGATTGTTTTATGTGAGTTTCTGTACCCATGGAAGGCTGAAGCTTTGAACCGTATGCTGCCACCTACCCTGGCTCACGCTGTCAAGCCTCCATAGGCACATGCATTTTCACATGACAAGCCTCAAATGAACACTGATGCCATTTCCACGCTACACCCAGTATCAACCCCAAATGCAAGTGTGTTCATGCTGCAGATGAACGTAGCTCATGTTAAGGTCCTTTCCAACTCTAATCATTCTATGATTCTATGTTCCACAAGCACAGGATGTGAAACTTGTGATTAATCTAAATACAAAGACTAAATTTACCAGCTGAAGGAGCACCTCTTCATCCCTGCTATGAAGTGCTTCAGAGATGCAGATGTTCATCTTCAAGAGCCAGACAGGGGACAGATCTGAGCTCAAGAGTCCTACAGCTTGCCCACAGTGAACGGGGGAAAAGATGCTAATCCCCAAATTGTGTCACCCCAAGCAGCCAGGCCAGAATACAGATGGCAGTTATATATACAAATATAAAAACCTTTATAGTTTCATTGAAGCCAAAAAAGCTGTGGAGGTGTTTATTACATTAAAAGGATTTGATGTGTGCTTGTTGAGGCGTTACATGTCAGTTTATGACCTCTTTCACCTTGTCATGTGAAACATTTAAAACTGAGGCATAAATCCTGGTTTTCCTCGCTGTAAGAATGTCAGAGCGCTCCTTTGATGTAGTTTCTCAGTGATACACTAGTTCAAACAGATCAAAAAGTGATTTTTTTTCCCCTGCTCTATAGCCTGGTACTGTCCTAGGGGGTGTTGAATCATTCAGGAACCAGTCAGTTTATGTGCAAAGACATAACCCTTCCTCTTAACATTTAATAACCAACGAGGAAGAGAATTACTTACAAGTAAACCAGGAATCCACTTGGGCCAGCCCTAAATTCAGGAGGAACTGGCATTTCAGCCTGAAAATACACTCAAAATTCTATTTCAAATAGTGGGAGTTGCAAATGAAGCCCCAGAGCCACGTGCTATCTATCTATCCTTCAAGGCTGTGTTTCTGCTCCAATTCTTGGACTGTCATTTTGTGTCCAGTTCACACATGAACTTTAATCTTTTAAGATTGATGTGATCATAACCAAAATTTCATAAAGGTAAGATAAATCAGAGAATTTTCATTATTTTGGACCAAAAAATTCTAAGATCACTCTTGAGCCTCCAGAGTGCGTGGGAATGAGATTTTAGAACAAATGTCCTCCCTTCTAACCCCAGCTCAGTCATGAGCCCAACAAAAGTGACCCTAAACCACAATGTCTCAGATCTATCTAGTGAGTATCATTGCCGAAAGAAAAGGCTTTTTTTAGACTCTGATCTCACAAAGCTGCTGAATTTGCTCACTACAGATCACAGTAAGCACACTGGCAGGATGTGTAATCTTTACCAAACTTAATCTTTCTCAAGGAATAGATGTGTTCTGAGGAATATTTACACAAGGTGGTGCAGGCAGTAAGCTGCCAGGTCAACCCTCTGCATGGGTCCCTGGGCCATGCTCCGACTACAGCCGGGAACGCCTGACTTGGTGCATGGCAGCTTGACGATTTTCCATGTATTTTTAGTGCCAGTGACCCAAAGGTTATTTTCTAAGCCTGCCATTGGCTGATATCTATAAGAAATCTGGTCAGGGACACTGGCTTTGGGCTGGCTGTACAATCCTGCGCATCCTTATTAGGTTCCTGCATAATTCTGTGCCAACCCTGCAGTGGGGTATTTGCTGGTTTCATCTTGCATTGCAATGTCATGCTCCAAATGAAGACAAGAAATGCATTTTGAAAGGGTAATACTTGCTTTGATGAGAAGAAAAGAGTGTTTATATGGTTATAATTACTGAGTTTGGGCACACAGTAATCACCTACACATAGCATACATTATATTGCTGGTAGAGTCAACACATAAAGCACCAAGTTGCAGGGTATATTTCTGTCTTGTGTGCTGTAATTTTCATGTATTAATTCAGAAGAATAAACCAAAGGTTTTTCACATTTCAGCAACCCTGGATACACAACAATTTAGGGAGCTACAGTATTGACTGTAACAACTCTGAACTGAGTGGTTATCAAATTAACAAGAGCTGAACTAAAATATAAATCAACTCTTGCTGTAGTGTAATTAAAATAAAACCTGATTTACTGTGTACTTTAATGCAAAGAGAAATGAAATACAGACCATATTTTTTGTACACTACTTCCCACTCTCTCCATAATTAAATGTTATTAAATAAATGAGCAAGTTTATACCATTATTCAGGTACTGTCTTTACTACCAACTACGACTCACGCATCAGACCAGCACTGTGAATTAAACCAGATTCATCTTCCTTCCTGTAAGGGCATTGCCAGACCCTGCTGAATAATCCATATTCTAAACTGCTCATCAGAAATAGTAACCAAGGATTAAGAGATGAGAATTGGCTGAAAAGCAAATGAAACAGGACGAAAAGAGATAAAAACATTAATTGATTTAGGTAGAGGAGAGATTTCACTGCCAGTGATAAATGTATCGTTCATGCTCATGATAAACCTGTTTCTTTGCACTAGAAAAGAGATCCCTGAGAAGTTAATGGTCTGTGGAGCTAGTTTCTCCTGGGTTTCCAGGTCTGCTGCCTGTGGACCACAGGTTGCACCAAACTGAATAAGTAACAAGATGCTATTTAAATGCTAGGTTATTACAGTACTAAGTTTAAATTTCATAATAACATATTCCAAGCACCCCTGCTCTCAAGCTGCATATATGTTGTTCTGTTTTTATTCCTGAGACATCTTCACATAAAAACAAAATAACACATCAGCTTCCACTTTACCGTAATAATAACAACATAAAACTTGTGCCCTTAAAACTATCATCTGTTAAATGAAGTCATATTCGATGCCCTAAAAAGAAAATGACAAGAAGAATTCAGGACTTACATTGATGTCCTCCAAGTCAAGGAAGTTGAGGATGACACCGTTGCGCTTCCAGATGATGGGAGGCCGCAGCGCCCCGCGGATGCTGCATGTCAGAACAGTGCTCAGGCCAACTGTGATGGTGGTAACGCTGACCTTCTGGTCCTCCGGCAGGCTCAGCTGGACCACCTCTGCAAAAGACAGCAAAACAGAGTAATACCGAACACTAGAAAGGGAAGTTGTTCCCCTTCTTCCCCCTCTGCCTTCTGTCTTACTCATTCCAGGAATAACTTTGAAGGATTTTGGCATGGACATGGATTATCTATGCTATAAAATCCCCCTAAACAATAAAATGAAGTAAGAGACAAAGGAATTGAATTTGCAATAATCAAACTTGCTGCATCATCTTCCTGAGTCATCTAGTGGTAGTTGTGGCATCAGGGCACTAAGATAGGTCCTCTGCTGCAAGTTACGTGTACAAACCAGTCTGCAACAGGACAAGCAAATGCTCTCCTGCTTGACACCATCTGTGCCCTTTGAAAGGGCACAAGAATGCGTCAGGTTCTTTCCTTGAAGAAGCATTAAGGTGAGACTGCTGTCACTGAAAGGCAAACAAACCCAATATTAAATTGCCTAAATATCTGAAGTCACCAAGCAGGAAAGCTCATTTACCAAATGCAGCCACATATGGCATCTGAGATACAGATGTTGTTTAACTAAGCAGTGAGAAGCTTTCTTGTATTTCATTTAAATAACAAAAAAACACATTATTTTGACTTACATTTAACACACAAAAGAAACACCTGAAGCAAACAGGCTTTACTGAAAACCACACCAGCATCTCTCAAACCATGGCATGTCACATCATTTCCTTCTGGCCAATGCTCACAGAATGTGTCTGCACATTTTGCCATGTCTGGCCACACAGACAGGTAAGACATTTGATACCAGAACTACTTGAAAAATTGCTTTAACATCTCTCGAGTGGCAAATCTGTTAAATCTGAGCACTAAAACATTGTCTGTGTCGGTAGCCTTTGGAAGCCTGGAGGGACTCCGCACTCGTCTAGCCACTGACTGTGAACATGTAGTGCCGAACTTGCTTGTGCAATGGTACCCAAACAGCTCCATATCCTGTCTCTTCCTGCTACTTCCACCTAAGCAAGAAGTTAATTGAATGTGCCACAAATTGTATTCACCACTGTAGATCCAAGGCTGACTGAAGGCTGCTAAGATCAATACAGCATCGCATGTCACATCTGCCATTCTCCAACTTAATATTCCCAGTGCTACTTCAGAAAGAGTACAAGCTGCGTTGAAGAAATGGTAGCTTCAGTTTTGATCTGGGGTTGATCAAAAAGAGGAATGGTTGGTCAACTTGCTGCTATTACTTGGTTGGCAGTGGCTCCCATACATGAGAAGAGGGCCAGACACAGTCAGACCATCACGCAGTTTCTGCATCTTAAACCTTAAAATCCAAATGGAGCTATAGAGGAAGGTTGGGAAGGGAAGGATAACCTCACCCACTCAAGGTCACTAAGCAGGTTAGAGGCAAATCCAGGACTACATCATTAAATCACACCACCCTCAGGTACCTACTGGAAGAGATCCGACATGTGACCAACACAGGCCCATGGCCCAAAGGAGCAGTGATGTCCCATCCCATCACCCTCATCCAGCTGCCTGAAGCATGTAAACAGCACATAGGAGCTAATAACGTAGTTATTTTCACCATAAGAGAGAGCTCCTTTTTATGAATAAAATATTTGAAGTGCACTTGACAGGACAAAGAACTGATAATTACGATAATTTGTAGTATGGAGTAGGACTAATGAGGACATCTCTTCTCGAGGAGAAATGAAATAGAGGGTCATTTATTTCCAAGCGAATTGTTTTTTCATCTTACTGCTGTTTTCCTTAATTCCCTCTGCTGATTCTCACACTGCCTTGAGTTCCCTGGCTCACGCTGGGCTCCCTCTTCAGCATCATTTGTGGAGTGTTTTGTTGCAGTAGAATTGAAGGCTCCCTGCCCATCTTCCAAATGACAGCTAAAGAGGCTTTGGTTTTAGAAACACAGTAATGAAAAATACATTAACTTTCAATTAAGAAGACACCTTGCATTGCTGCCATTCTTGGATGGAACCATATGAGGCCAGGAGATGACTTTTTCTGTTAAAGCGTGTAATTAGTACAGACCACTTCAACAATACAAACACACTCCTTTTCTTGAGTATTTCTATGGAGTACACTTGAGGGCATCTTATTAACATCTAAAAGCCCTTCTACTAATACAAGATTATATTGTGTGGCTTTAGTCACTGCTTTATTGTTACCAATAGAAAAGATTTCCTTATACAACCAGGTGCACTGGGGAGGAAGCAGAGATTTCCTAAGAGGATGAGAGGGCTTTTAAAAACTCTCAATCTTGTACTTTAAGTTATAGGGCATAGATGCATAGATGCTAGTTGGATTATGGCTACAAATTATTCAAGTCATCAGAATGATTTTGTGCAGAGCCTCTAGATTGAGTATTGAACACTGTTCTTTTTAGTTTTAAAAAACCTTTAGGAGATAAAAGGATTTTTACCATGCATATAAAACTGTTCAGAATAAATGGGTAACATTCAGAGCGCGCTCACTTGCAGAACACAGGCTGGAAAGGAATCTGGTCCTAAAATCAAGCAATTTTATGTTCATTTGGAAATTCGGCAGGACGATGCATTCAGAACAGCCTTCTATATTCAGTAGATTCAATCAGTATCAGTCCCAGAGTCGTAGCTGATCATATTTATCAAGCCATGTCAAACCTGAGACTTTTCTCTGATTTCACTCGAAGCAACTCCTCAGTTTATTCCAGTCGGAAATAAAAAAAGGTGCCTGCTAACTACTCTGCCTTCAGAGAGAGATGCTATCGTCAGAGAATGGGATGCTGTCATTTTGACTCAACTTTTAATAGTTCAAGACAGTAGTAAAGCCTTAGTAATAATCGCTTTCAAGAAGGAATGGGTATAAGCGCATCTCTGTGTATCAGAGGTCCAGGAGTTATCTTTCATCAGGCATTGCACCAAATGAAGGTCAGCAAGAGGTGGCTACTATGTGCAAACTCTCCTTTGGTGACACAGCAGCAGCTCAGCGCCTGAAAACTCTGTGACTTCAGGTATTGGAGCAATACCATCCTCAAACCCAGCTCTCCTGTTCAGGAGGGTGAAGGATCACTCCCCACATGCCAGTGGTCAGTGGAAGCATCTCTTTGTCCTGCCTCTCACACCTTTTCTCTCTGCTATGACATTCAGCCTGAGAGAGGCTATGAAACACTGTGCACCTTTGGTTAACCCAGGCGTAGCCTCTCTGATGTTCTTACATTGAATTAATTGCCACACCAGGTCCCACGGCAACACATGAGAATGTGAAGTCTTACGAATTCCTTTTCTTGTTAAAAAAGTCACGATATTGTCAACCATTTCCCTCGGCCCTTCCTCTGCTCCAATTTGATTTCCTAGGGTGCTAAAGCTGGAGTTGCTCTGCACCTTTGCAAGCTGTGCATACTAATGTGAGCAGGTATTACCTGTTGTGCTGTTTTATCACGGAAATCTTTTTCTCTGCTGTCAGTTGCAGCCTGCCAAAGGCAATCATAATTTCACAATGAAGACATGTATAATTGAGGTCATTATAGGGAGCAACCCAGAATGAGCATCTATGGAGGAAAACTCATTGATTTAGCACTGCGTGGAGATAATTTACATAGTAAATGTCAGTTGCCTGCCTTTGCTCATGCTACACTACATACAGAAACAGATTTCACACTTTAAAAAGTGCTTAGTATCATTAATTAGATCTTTTCCCTTAATCTGAAGAAAATACACTTTTTAATACATTTTTGTCACCTTTGATCATTGTTACATTTGTTCACAGGTATCTTGCCTTGCTAAAACAGAATATGGAGCAACCAACTCTATTGCTTAGATTCTGCTTAGGGGACAAAGCAATGTTTTTTTAATCCTGTGACTTGCTCTCGCTGGGGAGACAATGAACCACAATGAAGTCTTGTTTGAAGCAATGGGAGGATGATTTTCAAAGAAAGTCTCAAGCACAGATTCTTGCCTGTAAATAAATGTTCCTGAGCAGAGAGACCTTTATTTGTGAACTGAAGCATAGGTAACGAAGCCCTAAATTCATCCTGTTTCTCCAGCAATGGTTTGAGTCAGGATTGATTTGATGGGGTGAAAACTTCAGCCTCCACTCAGTTCCTCAAGTCCTGCAGCTGTGTTTATGCACTGTGTTGCATTGGTAAAATCTATTTATTGCCTTTTGGCCCAATATTGCAGCACGAAAGTCATTAGTGATTTTAGCATTTGTTTCAATAGATAAAGGAGTCTGCTCTAGCTGATTAATTCTCAGATGAGGTTCTAACTCAATCAAGAAAATCAAAACAAATTCATGATCGGGGGATATACCCATTACAGTTACTTTTTCCCCAATAGTTTTGATGAGATATATTTGGCTTTGTATAGAGAGGGGAGGGCAACTTTAGACCCTCTTAAATCTGAGCTGACCACAGCTAATTGATTTTAAAATGACCGCGTTGTATGTGAGATGCAGTTATAAACATGCAATTGCACATGAAATCTGGCCAGCCAACGAATGACTCCAGTGGTACCTTTTGAGAGACCCTGGAATGAGATGTGGTCATTCTCAGTGGATCTGAATCTGTAAAGCACTGTATAATATGCTTATAAATTACTTGCATTAGCATGTGATTTAGTTTCTACCCTAGTCCATAGACCAAATAAATGAATTAATAAAAACCTTAGCACACAAATCACCCTGGGTTTGCATGCCTTTGCAAACCTGTCACGCTGGCTGGTTTTAGGACCATCTCCAGAAGATATGTTGCTATGCCATCACATTTTGTTAGTTATTAAGGTTCAACAAGCCAGGCTTACCTAGATGTATTTGCTGTCTTCTCACCTGTCCAGAGCCAGGAGAAAGGACTATCCATCACCCAGCCCAAAAGAAAACTCCATTTTCTGAACATCAACTTGGAGTTACAGGAAAGACAGTCATGCTACTGAAATGTTTACGTTATTAATTAATGACATTAGAGTTGTTAATGAACATGATTAAGGTTGTTCACAATTAATTAACCCAGAGAATTCCTACAACTCCCGCATCGGTGCAGAGCAGGTGATTGT